TATTCTATTCTTTGTTCTTACTCCTGTACTCCATTCTACCCTTTCTAATTCCCATCAGAGACCATACTTCCTTTTGTTAAGCAAATCTCACATTAGTGCCCACCTGAAAGCCAACTCAATGAGTTTGAAAAAAGATTCCCTTACAGTTTTCATGAATGTAAACTCCTTTACCCATTCATACATCTTTTCTGTTTAAAAGCACTAAGTTTAGACAGGGTAAAGCATGTGAAAGAAACCCAGAACCATATCCATCCAGACTTCGGACAGTGATTTCCAAATACAATTTTGCCAAAAAGCACTTATTTATATCTCTGCTCACAGTCAGAACATTTTAAAATGTGTCCAGTTGAAATCACTTTAAGAAGTTAATATATGCCATAAGCCCTTTAAATTGAAAATATTTTTTAAAGAGAAAATATTCTGAAATTAATGAAATGGCATGTTTCCTGTTATAAAACAAAAATATTTGGAAATCATACAATTAGAATATGAACACTGGTAAGGAACAATTTATATATTTTAAAAATAATCTGGCATGAGGCAGTTATTAAAGAATTAAGCCCATCCTCCGTCTGACCTTAAGAATAATTTCCTTTTTTGTTAGAATTCATAATTGTGAACTCAAAATTTTTTCAGCAATTGAAATAAACCTTCCACATTGCAAATCATCATTAAAACTCAAAAACTACAATATAATTGTATATCACAGTTCTATCTGCTTCTTCCATGTGCCCCAACATTTGTATGTTGGTACCACTGAAAGGCTATGATCAGGGTCTACCTCTATTTTGGGAGAGAAAAGCATTAGTAACCCAAGTTCTTGAGTGATTCAGTGTCGGATTCGATATGTTATATTGCAGTGTTGGATTTAGTTGATGTATACAGAGAAATCACTTGCAACACGCTGACTTTCAAATTCCATTAGCTTTCTCTTTTTCTTATTTCAATTATGCTACACTCAGACTGCTGCACAACAGGATCACAGGAGACTTGAGGTTGTATCCTGGAAAGTCCCAGTTTAGCAATCATTCACTTTAAAGTGGCTAGTATTCTTAGATTCTGCTTTTCTTATTTGGCTATAAACAAAAGGCACCATATAAACTCAAAATAAATGCTTTTAAAAAGTGTTTTGATGTCCAAGATAAAAAGCTTTTGCAAAGCAAAGGAAACAGTCAACAGAACCAAAAGACAACCAAAAGAATGGGAGAAGATATTTGCAAATGACATATCAGATAAAGGGCTAGTATCCTAAATCTATAAAGAACTCATCAAACTCAACACCCAAAGAACAAAGAATCCAATCAAGAAATGGGCAGAAGACATGAACAGACATTTTTCCAAAGA